AACCTCCACATCATCTAGTCACTTGTGCACATCATAAAAGCAGTTTCTCATTCTTTTGAACAAGCTGCGATTGCTTTGGTACATTCATGCAATTGATTATGTACATTTATCTGCGGTTTGCTACATTATCATTTGCTAATGTCATGTTGCTCAAAATGTATTATATAGTTCTCTGTGCAAGAGTCTTAGCCCTCAAAACATAGGCATTAGTTCATCATATAAGTCATTAAATGCAAAATGGTTCATCTAGTTGTCATAAAGTGTCAAGCACATTTTTTTACACATTATTATTAGACTTTTTGTAAATTTGGCATGAATTGTGCAAGTGAATCTTGACTTTCACTAATGAAGAGAATGTAGATCAACAAATGACAAACCAGTTCTCTGAAACAGCTCAAAGGTGCATCTCATGAATCTTCAGTTGGAAAGCATATACTGTACAGACAGAGGACAACACAAGAGTTACACATTCTGACAATGGACTTTCTTATTTTTTTATTTTCATCTTTGTGCCCATATTTCCTTTTTCCTGTTCTATGCCACAATGACATTGTAATGTTTTTTTTGTTTGTTTTTTGTTTTTTTTGGTCAGACCACTAGTAAAAGTGTAAGTGGAATTCTATCCAGTCTCTTTCAATCAATGTCCCACATACCGTAATGAGTAAATTTGTACTTTTTAAATGGATATATTGCATACATAAGCATATGGCATACTGTTCAATACAGTAACTGTCATCCAAAATGCTGCCATAGTTTACATCAGGTAATACTAACAAAGTGCACTGTTATATTGACAACATGACTAAGCATTTTGACTATCTTGTTTGTGAACAATGGCACAAGTACTTTTCATTCTGATGGCACTGATATGTTCATTGACATAAATACTTACTTTTGAGAGATGAACTAAAGATTTTGAGTAAGTTACAGGCTTTTGCAGGTAATCCATTGTATGGTGCTGTTTGTACGAATTGTAGTGCACTGTTATATTGACAACATGACTAAGCATTTTCTTGTTTGTGAACAATGACACAAGGACTTTTCATTCTGATGGCACTGATATGTTCATTGACATAAATACTTGCTTTTGAGAGATGAACTAAAGATTTTGAGTAAGTTACAGGCTTTTGCAGGTAATCCATTGTGTGGTGCTGTTTGTACAAATTTTTTTGAGAAATGCACATGCATTTTTGCAAATATTAAGGATGATTTGAGAAATGCACCAAAGCAACTGAGAAAAACTGTAATGTAGCGCTTTTATAATAGATAAAAAGAAGAGGATTGCTGTCATTGTCTAATATTTTATAGTAAAACCATGGCGTTTTGAAATGGGGCCCATTTTCCCCCCTTTTATAAACAGGGTATTTTTTCATATCATCTCTCTTGGGAGAAGCACAGATATTTAATTTACTGTATAGCTGTGCTTCAGACTGTAATTATACAGCCTGTCAGAGAATGAAGCTGAGCTAAGCCTCCCACTCCTGAGGTGGTCTGTCTGTCTGAGTATCTGATCTCTCAAGAAGCTGAGGATTCATTTCGTAAGCTACAGTCTTTCACCATCTTATCTGCCTCTGTCATCCCTCTCTCATCTCTCTCTATTCCCTGTGGAGCACAGTGGGAGAAACCAGAGTACAGAACTGTTTTGTATTATGCTGAAGTGTACTTTTATGTGCAATATGGGACACAATATTTTAAATTAATGGGCTTTTTTTTAAGTAAGTGGATGTTATGATTATGTATTTTTGCGTGGATTTTTCATTCTTTCGACTTATGTGTGGCTGGTTTTTAGTATTCGTGCCTTGGTATGTTTATAACAATAGGTGCATGTGTGCAGTGCACACCTTGTCTGTCACTGAAGGGTTTTAGGTTATCACAGAGCTGAGGCTCCTTATCACCTGTCCTTCAGTTGATGGGTCACACTTTTGTTAACAGCATGCAATGACCTCTATTCTTCTTCCTCTGTCTTTCTCCCCTTTGTTTTGTCACCATTTCAGTCGGCCTACAGAGGATCTCCGGTTAGTGTGACCTTTCTTTTGACTGTCTATATGTCTATGATTGACATTATCACTTTCTGAAACAGGGTCTCTCCAAATGTAACCTTGAATTAAGAATTGACTTGATAAAAGTGATAGCAAATCAGCATCCAAAAAATACAAAATTCTGTGCTTATTTACCCTCATTTCATTTCAAAATAGTATGATTTGCTGTTGTTCAAGGAATACAAACGGATTTTGAGCTGCTCTCTTCCATATTAGAATATTTTATATACTATGTTAGTGTGTATTAATATTTTGAATTAGCTTTTATTGTTATATTTACAATTTTCATTTTAATTATAGTTTAATATTAATAATTTTGTTTGATTAGTTGGAAATATTTCTATTTAACTTTCATTTATATTTATTTCATTTTTATTTTTAGTAATTTAGTACTTCAACGATAGCTTGCAATACATTTTAGTCAGTATTCACTGAAAGTCTTGCTTGACAGCCATTCATCATTCTCTTTCAATATGTGTAAACAAAAGAATTAAAGTCATGTGGTTTTGAAGTGGCAGGAGGGTGAGTAAATAATGACAGTTTTTCTTTCTTTCTTTCTTTCTTGCTTGCTTGCTTTCTTTTTTGCTTAACAGATTAAATTAGTTAACATCAACACAACAGATGTGATAGACGGCAGACCCTCGATTGTGCTTGGGTTGATTTGGACCATCATCTTATATTTCCAGGTAAAAAGTATTCGAGTAATTTCCATAAATATTTCAACCATTCTTCAACAATAATGTCTTTAAGTTACTATAATTTAACAAAATAACAGAGTAGTTAATAACATTTTCGACACTTCCTCTGCATCTTCTTGTTCAGATAGAGGAGCTCACCAGCCATCTACCAGCCCTACAACCTCAATCTAGCAGCAATTCATCAGTGGAAAGCTCCAACAGCACTGAGACCAGCAGCCCACCTGTCAAACGCAAGCCCCGCCTTTCTTTTCAGGGCGGGGCCAAGAGAGCCCTTCTCAAATGGGTGCAGACCACAGCAACAAAGTAAGAAATGTATTATGCTTGTGCAAGGCATTGAATGAATATATTGTTCTTTAATCCCGTTTCCCTAAGTAAAGCATATGACAGCATTCTTCCTGGGTTTTGACATAATTGTAACGAATCAGCTCATGGGAAATATGAATAATTGTTCATGGGTCCTCATATGGCTTGTTAACTGAGGGGGGTTACAGAGTATTTGTTAAATATAAAAACAAAATATATATTGTGTGTTTGAGTGGTCCAGACGCTACATAATGTACATACGTACGTGTGTGTTTTCAGGAGATTGGGTCTGGATGTGAAGGACTTTGGTCCCAGCTGGCGCACAGGGGTGGCTTTTCATGCTGTCATCTTTGCTTTGCGACCCCATCTGGTTAACATGGAACGTGTTTGGAGGAGACCCAACAGGGATAACCTAGAAGAGGCCTTCTCTTTGGCTGAGAGAGAACTGGGCATCCCACGATTACTTGATCCTGAAGGTGATACCAGTCATACAGAAAAACAGAACATGTTTCATGTTTGCAATTTTTGGTCCAAATCATGACTAGAGATTTGATGCGGAGTCTGTTTGTGATATTAATTCACAAATATGCTGCTTTGTACATAGTAACAGACAGACAGAGTTTGTTTTTTGACTGTGTACTTTCAAATTGTGTTGCACAAGGCTCTAAGCGCCAAATGCTTAAATTCTAATTAGCAGCATGCCACTCACAGAGGATATGATTGATTAATTTTTAATGGAGGGGTTAAGTCTTCGACCTGCTAGACGCCATCTGAGCTTCCTCGTTGCTTCCTACAGGAGTCTGACAAATGAAATTTGACATTTGAACGATTAGTGGCCCATTAGCCACGGTAAAGCTGACTGAACAAATAGTAAATGCTAAGTCAAGGGACATTGTCAGCCATGGTTCTTTTGTATAAATTTTTTGATACTTTTGGAGCTTTGGTGTTGCCGACTTTGCATCTAAAATATTTCTCTTTTGTAAAGGTAACCATCAGTGAAGCCTCTGCCAGACCATATCGACTTGACGATTGCTGTTTTTTAGACATTGCACCTGATATTAAGCACAAAAAGCTTAAAATTGCACAAAAGTATTAAGCAGCACAACCATTTTCAACACTGATAAATATTAAGAAATATTTCTTGAGCATCAAATTATCAAATGTTTCAGATTCTTGCTATAGCATTATCGAAAGTTGCAATTACTCCCTGGTATCATTTTCAAAATACACCAAATATGTTGTGCATACAATCTTTAAAATTTGAGTAGGTAATTTCAAGGTGTGTTAAAGCTAAATGTTAATGCATGGATGCACAAAAACAGGAGACGGGAGGTAAAGCTAAAAGGAAATGACTGTGACTGAAAAAATCAATTAAATCAAATTAGCCACAGAACAATGAACCACAATGAGTGAGTAAAAATTTCAACAAACCTTTTTAGGAAGAAAAGCAGCTTTTGAATAGGGTTAGTTATTATGGGCCTCATCTGAAACACAGGGTGTTCATTGCAGGACCTGTATTTTATTTTAATTTTGTTGAAAATTGTAAAATTACTGTACATTTAAATCTTCTTTAATATGATTTAGATGTGGATGTGGACAAGCCAGATGAGAAGTCCATCATGACATATGTGGCACAGTTTCTGAAGCATCAACCAGATCGCCAAGAGACAGAGATAGGGCGGCAACAAGAGGAGGTACTATAAATATTTCTCATCCTATGACTAAACTTCAACCAGCTCTCCGTTCACTGTATGTCTCCTGGTCTGATGCTCTTTACTCTGTTAAATGACCACTATCAACAGTCTGTCTTATTTGTGGATTCACGTCTCTCTACTCACCATTTTCTTACACTATATTTCTCTCTTTTTACTCCTCCCTCTGTTTTGTCCACTAATGTCTTGTTGTTTACGTGCATCCCTTTTCGTCTCAAGTTTTATCTTGCTCCTCGAGCCATTGAAGAAATGTTAGAGGTACGTTTGCTTGTATAAAACACATTATGCCTGCTTTGACTGCTCCACCACTATTTCCACCTGCTGCTGTGCCATGTAGTTTAAAATCCTTTCAGTGGAATTTTGCCTTCCTTTTCATCATGAGTGGCGCGGATGTTGTGTGGATCAGGTTTAATAGTCCAGGGCATTATACACCTTTGATATGCCCAGTATAATTTTACTCCCTTTTCTATTATATTTGCATTACAACTGGGTGACATTTGCATGACAATAACGACCTTTGGCTTTGCGTTGATACTGATAACCTGATGATTAGCATTAGTAGCAGTCTTTAAAAAATAATAATGGTTCATAACCAAGTTGAAGCGCTGAATTGATCCTGTCACCACCTGGTCCTTTTGTAGAAACCATTAGTTCCCTCATGCCACCGTCTGCACGTGTTTCAAAGTCACTGTAATTTGAACCATTTTCACCTCTTTGTTATACATTTAAACTGAGACAATGTAGGTTTTAATATTTCAGGGCATTGTATGCCTGTGACAGCATTCGATTCGGGGAGGCGGGGAGGTGAACACGCGGCAGACGTTGGCAAGGTCATGATATAATCATTTTGATGACCCAAAGGCATTGCCTCGTGGAGGATGCCAAAATGTATGATGAGCACCGGAAGAGTAGGCTTAATTTCATTAGAATTATCTGAACACTGCTCTCACTTTCTCGCTCTTGTTCCTAATTCATAATAGGGAGGGTAAATGTGTGTAAAATGATTAGTATCTCCCCCGCAGAGCTGATTTCTTGCTCCCCCGTGGAGAGGTTTGGGGCAGATCCGTACAATGGAGGAGAGGAACTCTGCAAACAGCATGAGTGCAAAGTCTGCGTTGGATTTATAAATGTGGCATTAGTGATGCATGTTTGAACTGCGAAATTGTATTGAGTCGGGGGTTTAAAATGCATTAAATTACTTTAGGTAAGCAAATGATAAGTGTAGAGCTCCCCAAGGGCCTTAAATCTGCACAAATGTTTGCTTTTTGTCTTGTTTCTACAATCCTAACTAACTCGGCGCTCTTTTCTTCTCTCAGAGGGAGCAGCGTAAGACACTGAGGGAGCTGAAAGCATGGGCAGATCAGTTGGAGAGAGACTGTGCTCAAGCCCAGAGGGATGGAGGAAGTCTCGCTGTGCAGTACCAGGTGAGCTCAGGGTCACAATCAGAACCTATTGGCTGAAAGCAATGTAGACAACATATGATATCAATTGGATGCCCAATGCCTGGGTGGTCAAATGGCCACTATTCATACTGATATCCAAGACAACAGTGTGGCTGTTGGTTGAAATACTGATATACTGGGTAGGGTTCAGAAGACTAGACTGTTAGTAAAAATACTTCATGTTTTTATTTATGAAATTTAATACAACTGTTTTCACTTTAAATAATGTTATAAATAGCTGGAAGCTGACTAGCATGAATTTCAGATTTTCTTACAAATTACTCTTTCTTGCAAAGAAGAAATGACTCTTATGAACCGAATCAGACTCATTCAGTCAGCAAATTGTTCAGAGCCATTACTAAGTTCACAAATAGATCCCTCAATAAAATGTGAGTCATTCTTTGGTTATGTCTGAACCTATTTTGAACTGAAGTGCTTTTGAATAAACATTTTATCAAGCTATGCTGTAATTTATTAACCAAAAAAAAATATGTTAAATAATATAATTTTACAATATTACTGTTACTGTTTGAAAAAGATAAAAAAATGTAATTGACCCCAAACTTTTAACCAGTAGTATATGTTGTCAGGCATGATTTGAGATTTGAAATTTTCACAGTGGTCTCAGATTTTGGACACCGCTGTGTGTATAGTCATCATAATTCATATGACTCTGTGTAAGAAAAATGGTAAATGTAAAAAAAATATGGTAGATCCCAGACAAAACACTGGTTGCTTAAAACTCAGCACACTCCCACATACGCATGCAGACAATGCTAATATACATTAGAGCTGAGAGCACTCACTGCTCTTATAATCATGGGCACTACACACCAGTGAGCGACGTCTGTTGCTTTCTGTAGCGCCCACAGACATGTTCCATATTCAGAAGAACCAGAGCTCAAGCAAAGACCGCATGGGTAGAGAGAAAGTGGAAAATTGGAGCCCATTATTGCATGAATACATGCATGTGCAATTTGGCTGTTTAAATTCTTTTTCAGCTTTTGGCATGTCTCTCTTTCTCTTGCTTTGTCATTTTTTGGACAGGCTGTGTTATCTTGCTGTCTTTCTCCTATTAGCATTACATTGGATGTTATTTGAATATTCAGAATTTCAGTAATTCAATTTCCTGTAGTTCTCTCTTTCTTTCACTCACTCGCTCTCTCTTTCTCTCAGACATTCAAGCGTTATCGTGTACAGTTTGAGGTGCAGAGAAGACAATTGGAAACATGCATTCAGTCCACTCAGAAGGACGACAAGCTGACTGCAGATCAGGCTCTGGTCAAACAGGCCTGGGAGAGACTGTCTGCATGGGTCAGATACACCATAGATTTGTATTATTTTTATATGAAGCTAATTATAATAAATAACCCTAATCTTGGATTAGGTCTAACCCTAATCCTAGTCCATTTACTTTATTTATGAATCACTTAATAATTTTTACCTTTGAGGACATTCAGATTTAGTCAAAATAAGTCCACAAAAAATCCACACAAGGTGTTATATTGTTTTTGTGACAATTTTTTTTTTTTTTTGTGACAGTTGATGTGGTATTTTTCTTACTGCAGTTTTTGGATTGGCATCTACAGCTGGATAGTGGTTTGCCTCATCCTTTGGGTGAAGTTGGAGTGTGGTTACATCAAGCAGAGAAGATCCTACAAGAGGAACTGGTCCCTCAGCAAGCCCATGACGAGACCGCCAAAGCCATTCACAAAAAGCGACTACACGACCAGGTAAATCAAGGAAATCTGTGTTTTTCTGTATGAACATGTATGGTGTATTGGAGAATGGATGAATGAGAATCTATTAATGAGTCTTAACAAAACTGCCAAAAACTTCACTTTCTTCCTTTTAACATGAATTCTGAGTCTTACATTTATCTGTGTTTTATTGTGCAGGAGATCTTAAGGCTTCTTGAAAGACACAAGCAGACCTTGCAGTTAATACACAGAGACAGATGTGTTAATAATGTCCCCATTCCCATGGAACAACTGCAAGACATGGCAGAGAGGTAAACATCATAATATTCAATTTATAATAGAATTTAAAATTAAATTTGCAATGCTATAAATAAAACTTTATTATATTATATTATATTATATTATATTATATTATTAACCTGCTTTTATTTACCTGCCTTTATTTACAGATTAAACTACATATCTACCTCCTCCCATGTTCACTTGAGCAAACTGGAATTCTGGGAGACAAAATACTCTATGCTGGCATTTTTGACACTAGCTGAGTCCAAGCTCAAATCCTGGATAATTAAATATGGCCAACTGGAATCAATGGAGCTTTTGCTACAAAGCTATGGTGTACGTTTTCAAGCCAGAGAGATTGCAAGAGACTGTTTAACTGTTTGTTTGTTTTATTCTTCTCTCAGCTCCTCCATTGCCTAACCATGCAAACATGTTTTCATACATAATAATTTTTTGAGTCAATTCCATCACATTAAGATACTTATTACTTTACTTTGTGCTTTGATTCCACAATTAAAATATCTGATCTTTACTTGTGTTCATTCTTTGCTTCTGTAGTCTTTTGTGGAGGGGCAGCAGTTCTTTGAGAAGTATGAATCCAGCCACCAGGCTCTTATAAACGCTGCTGAGCTCTACATTAAAGCAGACAGCTCAGGTATGCTTCATATACTGAACAATGATGTGCTTAATTATACAGTATGTATGCATGTATGCCTATGGTTCTGCTAAATGGTAGCTTGGTAACAGCACTACAACTTTTAGCAATGATTTTGCAGTTTCATCCTGGTTTCACTGGTTCAGGTAATTACTTCTTTTTCCTCATCAAATTATATGAGAATCAGTAATTATGGAAAAATATGTTTTCCTAAATAACAGAAGGAGGTGCACGGGGAAGAAGGGGATTTTTATTTATAAATGTTTTTTATCAGGGCTCATGAATTTTAGCGGTAGTGGGTGTCTTGGGTGAATCAAAAAATATATTTGTAATGTAGAAATCATATCATGGCTGTGCAGATAAAGGCACAGTTTTTTTTTTAGAGAAAATGCTTAACATTTCACCATCTCAGTGTCCAGAGGACAGAATGATAGCAGCTCACCAGCGAGTTTAATCCTTGCGGACTCAGTAGTCAATCAGTCTCTCTGCCTGTAGCATCTTCCTGCTGTCTCTGTCTCTCTCGGTGTTTCATTCTTGCTCTTTTCTTTTTGGTTTTTCTTTCTCCTTCTACGTTCATGCCCCTCTCCTCGGGCCACTGGTAAATGAGGTTTTCCCAGGCACAGAGCTCAAAAGGGAATTCCAGTCCATTAGTGCAGATACTGTATTCTAATTGGGTTTCTTTGGGCAATAGACTGCCAACATGTTGCTTTGTTCGTGCCTAAGGCAATCTCAACATAGAGGTGGTCTTTGTGTTATATATCTGAAGTGTGATTGGAAGATCACAAAATGCATCTCCCAGAAGCCAATCACATCTTATCGTTGTGATCTAGTGCAGTGGTTCTCAACTGGTGGGTCGCAACACAAAATTGGGTAAAGGGTCTGTTCTAAAAGCATCACAGTCAGGAGACGTTATGTCCTGTTATATTATAGAAATAAATAAAATATAAATATTAGATAATGTTTATAAATAATAATAATAAATAATCATTTATAATAAATAATATCATTTTAGATTTAAACTTTAAGAAAAATCTAGTGAATATTAGAAATGTTGCCTTTGCAATGAACTGAAATAACTATTTTAAGTTGAAGTACTAAAATGACTAAAAACTATAAACAGAAATGTAAAAAAAAAACTAAATAAAAAAACGTATAAAAATGACTAAAATGAATGTAATCTCAAAATATAAAAAGAAAAGTTAAGTTAAAATATTAATAAATACTATAATAGCATTTACTGTAAAAATACTAAAATTACACTGTATATTGTCACTGCAATGCTTATAAATAGCAATAATAATTACCTTTTGAAAGGGAAGTTTAAATGCTTGTTGTTGACATCAAGGACTGTATTTATTAGTGCTTTCATGAATCTGCTCTGCTTTTGTATGTGCATGTTTTGACATTGTAGTTGAGGGAGGGGTAAAGCTCTTCCTGCGAGAGGTGTCTGATCAGTGGAGGAGTCTGTCGGTGGAGGTGCGAAGCGTAAGGTCTATGCTGGAGGAGGTGCAGTGTAACTGGCTGAGGTACAACAGTTGCGTGGCCTCATTGCAAGCCTGGCTGGAGGACGCTCAGGGGGCTCTTAAACAACCTGAGAACACCAAACGGGTGAGACATCCACGTACTGTATATGAAAATTACTAGTAGGGCCGTGTTTATACATTCTCATTCTCTTTTGTTCTTCTAGGAGTTTTTTCGTAATCTTCCACACTGGATGGACCAGCACGCTGCTATGAATGATGCAGGGAACTTTCTGATTGAGACCTGTGATGAAACAGTGACACGTGACATAAAGCATCAGCTCCTGCTTCTCAATGGAAGATGGAGGGAGCTATTTCTGAAGGTCAAACAGGTAAACAAGCGTGTTCACATCTTAAAGACAAGAAACTGGGCAGTTTAAAGAGATGGTTCACCCAAAAATGTAAATTCTTTCACTGAATCTTTATGCCTTTGTTTCTTTCTTTAATGCCAGAACTGCTATAAATAATTAATTTTGTGTTTCATGGAGGAAAGAAAGTCATATGGAGTTCATGTTTAAGTGAACCATTCCTTCAATTATAAACTCTGTTTTTCTCTCTTCACAGTATGCTTGTCTTCCTGAGACTCATAATGTGAGGATGCACCAGGATGTCAGCTTAGACATACAAGAGTTTCTGGACACTTCCATTACCAAACTTTCCTCGCCGCTTCAAGTGTCATTGTTGGATGTCAAAGCCTTTATGCAGGATGCTGAGGTAAAGAGGTTTCAACATTTACTGTATTTGGAGTGTGTTGTTAAAGGGGACATCAGATGCCCATTTTCCACAAGTTGTTATGACTCTTTAGGGTCTTCATGAAAAGTCTATAACATACTTTGGTTAAAATATCTCAATGGTAGTGTAAAACAACACCCTTTTTACCTTGTCAAAAACAGCTCTGTTCACAGCGACCCGTTTCGGTGCATGTCCCTTTAAATGCTAATGAGCTCTGCTCACCCCACCCCTCTCTTCCGTGGGGTGACGAGCAGTTCTCTAAAGCAGTGTTTCCCAACCGGGGTGCCTTCTGTCGAGAGCAGGGGTGCCATGTTACCGAATATCTATACTTTTCAAAGTATCATATCGAAGTTAGAAATTCAAATATTGTGACAAAATTAATTTTGTAGGGTGCCACAAATTTGTTAAAATTTCCAAAGGGTGCCACGACTAAAAAAAGGTTGGGAAACACTGCTCTAAAGCTGTAAACTTAAGCCGTTTTCGTCGTGGAACTTGCTAACTAGCACATTATTAGGAATAATTTTTGCTAGTTTCATTAAAAAAAAACCTAATATTCACTTCTTCTGGAGGTGAAGCTGGATCACGATTGATTCACGCGAACATAAACGCATTTTGATAGATCGGGGGCGCATTCGCTTCAAAAACAAAAGTAATCCACTGCGTCTTTAGCGGCTCAGATGTCGGGAGTAAATGACGACTGCTATGTTCATTATTTCATCCAACAACAAAAAACCTCAATCGCTTAAGAGACATTCTTGTCTACACCTGCTCCAGCATCGAAACAATGCGGACTGTTTACAGCTCACTCAGGGCGGGTCTGTGGTAAAACACCAGAGTCAATCAACAATCATGGGAGGGGCCTGCCAAAAGTACGTCACACTGCCAAGAATCTGTGAACAGCTTGATCTGAGAAAGAGCTTATTATTTATGGGGATTAAAAAAAAAAAGCACTGGGTGGATTTTTATCATTATAGGGTGGTTGTGTACACACACTGCCAACACACATTTATGTTCAAACACCATGTAAAAGTGAATTTTGCAGCTGTTGTCCTCCTTTTTTTTTGTATGTGGCCACAGAAATGATAAATGCAAGACTGTTATGCAAGTTCAATTCATTTGAGTTCACCTAAGCTTTCTGATATAATTTCACATGCATTATAGGACATCAAGCACAGGCTGCCTGGTGTGGAAGCACAATATAAGGCAGCTGCTCGCTCTGCACAGCTTCTGGCCAAAGACTCTGTTCATGGTAGCGGAACTAAAGCACTTTCTTCTATAACAACCGCAGAAGCACAGCTCCATCAGGTTTGCGCAATGTTTGCACAATATTATGTTATCATTTCCATCTGAAAAGTTCTAGTGTTGTTTTTATTTGGTGGAACACAGAATCAGACATTTAACAGGAGCATTCACTCTAGTCTTTTCAGTACATTTAAAGTGACGGCGATCACAGGCTTTCTTTCTTTAAGAAAGAAGAAAAGCATCATTAAACAGAACTAGAACTATAAATGCAAGTCTTTTGGACCACTTCATGGTACTTTCTATCAGTGTTGGAGCTGGACAACCTCTGGTCACCATTCACCTTCATTATATAGAAAAGAATAGCATGAACATTCTGCTAAATATCTGATTCTGTGTTCCACCAAATAAAAACAAAATCACATAAGTCTGCAACAGTATGAGGGTGAATAAATCACAGAATTGTCATTTTCAGTGATATGTCTGAGAATAAATGTTGTGTGATTGTTTGTTTGTATCCTCACAGCTGAAAGAAAAGTGTCCTTTAATTCTGAGGGAGTGCCAGGCTCTATTTCCTCTGTTAGAGGAGTTAGAGAAACAAATCTCAGCTTTCTACCAGACAGCGGAGCATGCTGGACACATCATCACACAGCAACACAACCAGGAAATGTGCCAGGTCAGTACAGACCACTGGGAGAAAAAGATTATTGGACCATGAAGAATACAGTGTGGTCAAGTAGTAATTATGTGACAAATAAGAAGTGCCTGTCTTCTGTAATCCCACAAGGATTCAGTAGGGAAAAAATCCCTGGCTGTATCTGTGTGAACTAGAATTGATCTCTGTGTTTATTTCTGTTTTATTCATTTTTGCCAGGAGCTACAAACTCAGCAGCAGACCTGTAAGCGTTGTGTTTGCGCTATGGAGCGCAGTTACCTGTCCCTACAGAGGGCACTGTGCTGTGCGAAATCTCTGCACAATTTTGACATGTCGTTCCTGCAGAACAGAGTAACCGAGATTCAGACAACTGCACAGGTTGTACTACATTACAGATGTGCAATAAACTTTTCATACACTACCATTCAAAAGTTTTTCTTTTATTCAGCAAGTTGTTTAAAAAAAAAAGTAAATACATTTTTAATGTTACAGAATATATCAGTTTCAAATAAAGGCTGTTCTTTTCAACTTTCTATTAATCAAAGAATCATCTTTTCCACAGAAATAGTAAGCAACAAATCAGTTTTCAATGTTGATAAAATAAGAGAGCACCAAATCAGCATATTATAATGATTTCTCAAGGATCATGTGTTTTTGAAGTATAAATAATCTCAATTTCACAAAAAATTGACCCTTATGACTGGTTTTGTGATCCAGGGTCACATATACAGTATATGCAATCCAAGTCTTCTGAAGTCATACAAAATTTAAGTCATCATTCACTAAAAATCCTTACCTCTGCAGCCTCTCTAAGTGGAGATTCTCTAACTCTTGCTTGTGTTCTATTGAAAAAAATCTCTAGTTTGGATTTGTTTATCAACTACAGATCTGATAGAGTAACTGTGTTCTGCTCTGGTCAGGCTCTAATGCAGGAGGCTTTAGAATGGAGGCAGGTGGCAGAGACTAATGGCAACCTCATGCGGAGATATGAAGAGTCTCGTGCTGACCTGGAGAAAGCGCTGCGTGTGGGCCAGGCCTGTTTAAAGGAAAGGGGAGAACCAGATGAGCTGTTCCTCAAACATAATGTACGTCAATAATGTCTTACCCTTCAAACATATTTAACTTGTCTTGTTTCTCTAATTAAGTGTGTAATTATTTGCTCAGGAGTTCTTTGGGCGACTGGACCAGCACATTTTAAGTGCTTATTTAAAGGCGTGTGATGACCTCACTGATATCATCTCTGAGGAAGACCAACAGAGTCTGCAGGAGACAGTCAGACGACTGCACAAGCAATGGAAGGTCAGTTGAAAGGTTAAAAAAGATGAAAATGAAGACAGTTTAACAGGAACTTCTCCTAAAGGATTAATCATGATGCATTTTCTTTCTACCAGGACATTCAAGCCGAGGCCCCATCCCATCTGCTCAGACTCCGGGTGGAAACAGAGAGGCGTTTGGTGATGGCCATGCTACAGGAGTGTCGGGTAGAGCTGAAAAGGGAGGACAAGGCCCTGCTCACAGCCGGCAGTGAAAGAATGATCAAAGAGCACAGGGTGAGATACAACAGATGACGAAAAGATCTTGCAAGTTACATTTCATGAAAATTGAATATTAACATTTATTTATGTGTCTTAATAGGCCTTTTTCAGACAGAAAACCCCTCTTTCTGCTTGTGAGAAGCGACTAAAGACAATGGAGCATATCTGTCAGGATCTTCCAGAGAATGACATGGGCCATCAAATGCTGGAGGAGACCAGAGATCATCTTTCGGAGGTCAGGGGTTTAGTAGAACGAACACACTTGAGACTACAACAGCACCCGGATAAATGGAGAGAGTGGCATGCCAGGTGAGATGCAAATATTACATTTCACATTGGGACACATTACAGATTGAATTCTGTCCATATTGCTTGTCAATTGCAATTCAATTTAAAATGTTATTAAATGCACTTTAGAGCTGAACTTTAGAGTGATTTTTGACCTACTTAAGCAAGGCTCTTTTTTTACATTTGTATCTGTAATTTTTTATGCAATTATAATTAATTATATTAAAGCATACTGCTGAATATAGCATTTATTATAAAATAAAATGTATTTAATGTAATTTCTATTGAACGTTGTATGCAATGTATTTAAATTTTTATTTTTATTTTTAATTACACATTTATAATGATGAACTTGCAATTTAGTATTTATATAATATACTTCTATAAAATATTTTAACTTTGAATATAATATAAAAAAACGTAAAATAACACACTATATTTAACATTAGAATCAAGTACTTTAATTGTGCTTTTGTATACTATACTATATTATACTATTTAGTATACATACGTATGTTATTGACAAAAGTGTGTCAATAACAAATGTGTATGACAAAATATTATTAAAACATAAGTATGTAAAATGTACTTTAAAGTAAAATTATTCATTTGACATTATTATAAAATGCCCTTTTTTATAAGTGTACTTAAGTGTGTTAAGAAGCAGTAATTAAAGTATACTTTCTTTAATTAAGCTTAAGTAGCCTTTTATTTCTTCTGCAAGTACTTTTTATTAAAATACTTTTAAAATTTGAATTAAGTGCACTTTCTCACAAGGGACAACATATGCTGGTGATCAGGTTGTTTGACATTTTCAGGATTTTTTTTTTTTTTGTGCTGTGCTCCAGGTTCAGTGAGCTATCTGGATGGCTTCTTTCCCAGCAGACGTCTCAGAGTGATGCTGAAATCTCCTCTGTCCAGGTAAGCTCACCCCAAATCTACATGCTGTATATGTGAATGCAGACCACTGTCTGCTGTGTGACTTCAGCTGACCTCTCTCTTCCTCCCTCTGCAGATGCAGCGTTGGGCGGTAAAGGCTCAGGGCGAGACTCTGGACTGGCTCAAAGCTCGTCTCGCTGTCCTGGAGGACATAAGTCCTGAGAGTGAGGTTCACACACAGAGAGCTGCTCTTGATAAACTCTCACAACAGTTTTCTGCACTGCTGCTGTCTCTGTCTGAGGTGAAGGGTGCTCTTCATGTCTTCATGTTTGCTCATTGGCCATAAATGCCATGTTCACTTTGGAAAGGAAATGTTATGCAAATGTTAATATATGGTTATTGGAATATAATTTTCCATTTTTGCACATCATCTACAGGAACTTTGTGTTGTACAGATATCTGTGGCATTACTGTTCATGACATTTTGCATGGTTAAACTCTTTTACTGTTTTCTCAGGATGTTCCTGTTGCAGTGGCCAATGAAGGGACCATAAAGGCTGGAGAGGAGGTGAAGGAGGAGGTAAATGATGAGGAGGTGATCCAGACACAGGAACACAGAAGAATACTGAACGCAGAGAATGTAACAGAGGCCAAACAGCTGCTCCTCATTCACCAGGTAGAATTCATTTTGTTGACACGCATAATGCAATAGACATGATGAATCTGCTCTTCGATTTTATTTGCTAATCTGATAGCTGTGAATAAGTGACTCTTTGTCATGCATGATATTCCAAGGGGGAAAATCTCAGAATCATTTATTTGATTTTTGTCTTCCCCTTCCATTTTCCTTTCTCGTTCTTGCCTGTCTCACCCTTTCATGGTGTGTACAAAGCAAAATATGAAAACCCAGCAAAAAAAAGAGCCAGATCTCCGTGCTCCAGTTTCAGTGAGCTATCTGGATGGCTTCTTTCCCAGCAGACGTCTCAGAGTGATGCTGAAATCTCCTCTGTCCAGGTAAGCTCACCCCAAATCTACATGCTGTATATGTGAATGCAGACCACTGTCTGCTGTGTGACTTCAGCTGACCTCTCTCTTCCTCCCTCTGCAGATGCAGCGTTGGGCGGTAAAGGCTCAGGGCGAGACTCTGGACTGGCTCAAAGCTCGTCTCGCTGTCCTGGAGGACATAAGTCCTGAGAGTGAGGTTCACACACAGAGAGCTGCTCTTGATAAACTCTCACAACAGTTTTCTGCACTGCTGCTGTCTCTGTCTGAGGTGAAGGGTGCTCTTCATGTCTTCATGTTTGCTCATTGGCCATAAATGCCATGTTCACTTTGGAAAGGAAATGTTATGCAAATGTTAATATATGGTTATTGGAATATAATTTTCCATTTTTTGCACATCATCTACAGGAACTTTGTGTTGTACAGATATCTGTGGCATTACTGTTCATGACATTTTGCATGGTTAAATTCTTTTACTGTTTTCTCAGGATGTTCCTGTTGCAGTGGCCAATGAAGGGACCATAAAGGCTGGAGAGGAGGTGAAGGAGGAGGTAAATGATGAGGAGGTGATCCAGACACAGGAACACAGAAGAATACTGAACGCAGAGAATGTAACAGAGGCCAAACAGCTGCTCCTCATTCACCAGGTAGAATTCATTTTGTTGACACACATAATGCAATAGACATGATGAATCTGCTCTTCGATTTTATTTGCTAATCTGATAGCTGTGAATAAGTGACTCTTTGTCATGCATGATATTCCAAGGGGGAAAATCTCAGAATCATTTATTTGATTTTTGTCTTCCCCTTCCATTTTCCTTTCTCGTTCTTGCCTGTCTCACCCTTTCATGGTGTGTACAAAGCAAAATATGAAAACCCAGCAAAAAAAAGAGCCAGATCTCCGTTCTCAAGGTAATTTCTGTAAAGACGACTGGGCAGCTCAGGAGAAACACCTGCAGGTAACGCTTTCAATCAAATGATGATATTTACACATAGGCCATATTATAATTTGTTTTAATCCCATGGAAGTGTCTGTAAAAACTCTTCGGAAAGATTTCCATATTTGAGCTCATAGCATTTTAGCCACATAGGCAGGATCCTAACTGTTACATATATTTTATGTATATTTGTATATATATTTAATTATGATTGATCAGATCATTTATTTCTGTTGATACTTCTGTGTACTTTATGTATTGTATAAAATATTCTAAACTAAACTATTAGAATCTTAACTAATGACTAATGGTAGTTCTCATTTTATTTTTTCTAGTTATGCCAAGCTCTAAACAATTTTTTAAGGTAGAAATTGTAATGAATGAATGAATAAATAAATAAATAAAATCCTTATACTTAATCCTTATCCAGTAAATCACAAACAACTGGAAAAGTCATGGGAACTTTGAATGTTGTTGTGGACAATGGGGGGTCCTTGCAATCAAAAAAGACCTTAAAATGATCCGAGCTTGTTTCCAGCAGAGAGTCATTACTGTTTGGCTACCATTCGAGTACATATTTACTGTTTATGCATAAAGTGTAAGCCTGTAATGCAACGAAAAAAACTGCAAGAAATGTAATCACTCCGATTACTTTCTTTTTGCACATCATCTACAGGAACTTTGTGTTGTACAGATATCTGTGGCATTACTGTTCATGACATTTTGCATGGTTAAACTCTTTTACTGTTTTCTCAGGATGTTCCTGTTGCAGTGGCCAATGAAGGGACCATAAAGGCTGGAGAGGAGGTGAAGGAGGAGGTAAATGATGAGGAGGTGATCCAGACACAGGAACACAGAAGAATACTGAACGCAGAGAATGTAACAGAGGCCAAACAGCTGCTCCTCATTCACCAGGTAGAATTCATTTTGTTGACACACATAATGCAATAGACATGATGAATCTGCTCTTCGATTTTATTTGCTAATCTGATAGCTGTGAATAAGTGACTCTTTGTCATGCATGATATTCCAAGGGGGAAAATCTCAGAATCATTTATTTGATTTTTGTCTTCCCCTTCCATTTTCCTTTCTCGTTCTTGCCTGTCTCACCCTTTCATGGTGTGTACAAAGCAAAATATGAAAACCCAGCAAAAAAAAGAGCCAGATCTCCGTTCTCAAGGTAATTTCTGTAAAGACGACTGGGCAGCTCAGGAGAAACACCTGCAGGTAACGCTTTCAATCAAATGATGATATTTACACATAGGCCATATTATAATTTGTTTTAATCCCATGGAAGTGTCTGTAAAAACTCTTCAGAAAGATTTCCATATTTGAGCTCATAGCATTTTAGCCACGTAGGCAGGATCCTAACTGTTACATATATTTTATGTATATTTGTATATATATTTAATTATGATTGATAAGATCATTTATTTCTGTTGATACTTCTGTGTACTTTATGTATTGTATAAAATATTCTAAACTAAACTATTAGAATCTTAACTAATGACTAATGGTAGTTCTCATTTAATTTTTTCTAGTTATGCCAAGCTCTAAACAATTTTTTAAGGTAGAAATTGTAATGAATGAATGAATAAATAAATGAATAAATAAATAAATAAAATCCTTATACTTAATCCTTATCCAGTAAATCACAAACAACTGGAAAAGTCATGGGAACTTTGAATGTTGTTGTGGACAATGGGGGGTCCTTGCAATCAAAAAAGACCTTAAAATGATCCGAGCTTGTTTCCAGCAGAGAGTCATTACTGTTTGGCTACCATTCGAGTACATATTTACTGTTTATGCATAAAGTGTAAGCCTGTAATGCAACGAAAAAAACTGCAAGAAATGTAATCACTCCGATTACTTTCAGTTGGTTTCACCTCTACAACAATTAGACGTGAAATGGTACAGTAATGTGTGATTCTCATTGGTCATTAGGTCACTGTGAGTGCATGGCAGGAGTTTGAGGTGGAGAGAGAGGCCATCTGGCAGTTTGTGTGTCTTGTCAGTCCTGTCCTGCAGAGGGAGCTCATCTTCAGCAGCCTGGACAACCTCAAGATTGAAATGAAAAATGTTAAAGTGAGAGCACAGACAGAAAATATAGTCGTTTGTTTAATGAACTTTGGGCTGAGAATAATACTCTTATCTGTGTGTGTTTGTTTAGGAGCTTCATGAGCAGGGTAACATGTTTGCTGTAAGAGCTGAGTCCCTGGTGAAGAAGGCAGCAGATATTAAACTTGGTTCTCAGAATCAGTCTTTACTACAGGATCAGGCCCAGTCCATAAAAGAGAGGCTGCAGGAGATACAGGCCAGCCTTAGGAAAATGTAAGACGGAATTAAGTCAAAATGTCTGCGTCTACTGTATATACATGTACTGTACAGTTCAAGAATATTTCATTTTCAGTTATGTCCGATGGTGGCAGTCTGCTGATTTTCAACAACCTCACTCAGAATTGTTATGTTTTTGGGCATATTTGCAATGATATCTCATTCTGATCAAATCTTCTAGTGAATTGGGTGCTAAATAATGCAGTACAAATGCTATCAAACGCAGTGTGCAGAGCACTTTCATGACTATGTATAATAACAAACTTAAGTACACTTAATAAGTGCACATTGTAACAATGTCAAATTAAAAGTATTACTTAAATGTACCATCATTATGTTACTAAACATACTAAAGCACATGTAAACTATTTTTTTAATTATAATTTTAACTAGAATATTACTGGATACATTTCAAGTTAATTTTAATTTTTAGATAATTTTTTATTTTTATATTTTAGTACTACATTGCAGCTTTATTACAAATGTGTAATATATTGTAATATATTTAATTACATTCCATGACATGACATTACATATAATTTTTTATAGAAATTACATTAAAGTATATTTCAGATTGCCATTTATGGTATGTTTGTTAGTACATTTGGCAGTCCACTTTAACTCAATGTACAATAGGAGTAATTATGAAATGACACATAAAACTGTATTTAAAAAAGAAATGTATTTAAAAATAAAGATCTATTTAAGTACATCAAAAAACACTCTTAAGTTAACTAATTGCATTTAATATATATTTAAAATATAATAAATGTTAATTTAATTGTAAATAACATGCAATTAAGTGTCTGAAAACATTACATCCAGTTTGCTCTTAATTAAATTATTCTAAAATATATTATTTCTGCGCTTGGTTATCTTTTTAAATGTATGCTGAAGTGTACTTCTTTTTCACAAGTGATGTTTCTTTCCTGTTTGTCTCTGTTCCAATAGCTTGTCAGATCGGGAGATGATGCACAGATGGTGGCAAGGTTTCAGCCGTGAGTCTGAGGCTTTCTTCTCTTGGGTCTGTGATAGTAAGAAGGAGCTTGAAGCTTTCACCAGAACCTCTGCCGACCTGGATGAGCAGATACACACTTTGGAGGTAAACAGAGAAAATGGATGTTGTAAACCTGGATCAGAAGACTGTAACTTAATAAACATAACCAAATTAACCAGACAACATGATAGGTTTCATTTAGCGCTCAGTGAATGATGTCTCCTCGTTGTTTTCGCTCATTCTTAGATGCTGAAGGAGGGCTTAGAGGAGAAGATGGACATCTTTAGCCGATTGGAGGCAGAGTTTCATACCTTAATTCATTTCGTCACACCGAATGAGGCAGGGCGAATTAAAGCACGTCTGATGCAGATTGGAAGATACCGGGAGGAGTTTAAGAACAGTGTGGAGCAAAGAGAAGCAGAGCTTCACTCTAGCTTGAAAAATACAAAACATTTTATCCAAGATCTCAATGAGGTGACACTACATACAGTACATGGCTCTATCTGCTCCTCTGAATTGATATATTATTTAAGCCATTCTAGGTGTGTATTACTCAATGTTTTCCCGCACCTTAGGTGGAAGGTTTCCTGAATGGACTACAGGAAAAACTGAACGTACCAGTTACCTCATGTACATCAGCATCAATGACATATAAAACTCTCCATGAACATATGGTTAGTATTACATGTGTTTGGGAACAGATGACTTAAAGACCTAAATAAAACATTCTCCATACCATATATACAGTACTATATTGACCAGGGGTGTCAAACTCAAATCTGGGGCCACTAGCCAAGAGCTTCAACAAATATCATTATTTATACAATCATCACAATCTAATTTTGATGTATTAGTCAAAAATTCTTTAAATGGAAAAAGACTCAAATATATACCAATCAGTTCACATGTACAGTATGATATTTGTGAATATTAAATTTTATTTCAGATAAATAAAATTAAGGATTAGCTGCGAAGTGTCTGTTTGTTGTCGTCTCCAAGGATACAGCTTCACTTCATCTTTGTGTTTTATAATAAGCCATGTGGAAAAATATATTGACTGCTGTTTAATAATCCTTAAGAGACTATTGAAGACTAAACCAAAATGCAGAAAGTTAAAATCAATTTGCAGACTGGCTTAAAGGATAAACTATTTACACTTGAAAGGCTGTATGTAATAATCCCCAAATTTGGCCTGTGGGCCAAAAGTATTAGACCCCTATTCAAGACCATATACAGTTAAATTTCTCTTAACTGTTGTTTTTAAAAATATGTTTATTTAAAGGCCCCTGAATCTGCTAGAGTAACATTATTGTGACACAAATGGCATTTCTTTCATTCTCAGGATGTAGTGCAGCGTCTACAGCAGCTGGGGCCCAGGCTGATGTCTCTGAGTCTTGGCTGGAGGAGGCTGTCTGATGGCGGACGGTTGGAGAAAGATGTGGCTGACCTTCAGCAAGCTCACAAATTACATACCCAGCAAGCCACTGAAAAACAATCCAAACTGGAAAACCTGTTGACTCTGTGGCAAAGGCATGTGTTTGAATGTATTTGTTACCAAGTGTGTGTTGAAAGAGGTCTTTGTTACACAAATTAAAACTGTAATGTAAAACGCAATGTTTTGACTCTTTGGTTTTTAGATATGAGAGAGATCTCACACTTTTGCAGTCCTGGTTGAACAGGTCCGAATCTCTATGCAGTTCAGATTCTCCATACCTGACCACAGACAATGTGAAGCTACACAGCCAGCTTCAGATGCTGCAGGTGAAGTCAGAGGGCATTTTAGAGATTTTTTTTTAACACTCTTGGTTCCTTTTTTAAAATCCTGTTGTGTGAAAATGTGGGACTTTGTGTCTTTAATGGCAAATAACCCATAATTTTTTTTCCGTATGATGTACCAGGACATGCAGTCAGAAGTTCCCTCTCAGGAGGCTTTGTTGGAAAGTTTGGAGACCCGTGCAGAGTCTCTGTACTCTTTGACCTCAGAGGAAAGGACCTCAGAGCTTAGAGATCTTCACTGTAACCTGGAGGAGAGGTGGTGTTCTCTCAGTACCAATATACCACTCAGGTACTAACAACATCATTTTTGGGCTTTTTAGTCCTGTTTGCTGATGTTCTCATAAAATATTCATGGGGGCATATGCAAAATCTGTCTATAATGAGGATGTTTCACATTAGGACCTGCCTCGCATTAGCATTAGCATGTAGTAAATTAAGGTTAAATAGTTTGAAAGCATCTCTTATGCTCACCAAGGCTGCATTTAGTTGATCAAACATTCTTTGTAAAATGCAGTATGTTTCTCATTGCATGTTCTACATGGTTTCATTCGTATATTCCTTTAAAGGGGTCATATGATGCGATTTCAATTTTTCCTTTCTCTTTGGAGTGTTACAAGCTCTTGGTGCATAAAGACGATCTAGAAAGTTGCAAAGATTAAAGTCTCAAATCCAAAGAGATATTCTTTATAAAAGTTAAGAGTCAGCCACACCTACCTAAAACGGCTCGTTCTAACACACCCCCACATGTCTACGTCACTATGTGGGAAGATTTGCATAACGCCGCCCAAATGTTCACGCAAAGAAAGCAGGCATAACTTTTATTCTCGCTGTAGTATTGTTGCCGCCGCAGCCATGTCGTGAAGACGCTGTGTGCTTCGTTGTCAAAGCGAATCTACTTTGTTTGGTCTTCCAAAAGAGGACAATATCTGCTTCGTCATGCCT